TTTTTTTTTTTTTTTTTTTTTTTTTTTTTTTTTTTGAATGCCATTTTTCGGTGTCGGGTAGAGTGGTGGTTTAAAAGAAGAGTGATTAAGCAGTTTTATTAATAATTACAATATCAATAATTGCTGAGTTGGATTAAGGTTATTATACTGTGTTGGCGATGGGAATTAGTGTATTGGGGTGATGGGAATAAAACTTCTACTGCGTGAAAATAAGGGGAATTAGTTTTTAGTGGGGGAGTCGAATAATTTTTTATTTTGGATAATTGTCGGATTATGTAACAATGAAATTGTACGAATACTAGTTCATTTATTTGTCATGAATTGTTATGACATTTGGATTTTTTTATATATTTTTTTTTGAACAAAAAGGTAAGAACGCCACAGGTAACTGTTTGGGAAAATTTTGGACTCTCTTTTTCTTTTTTCTTTTTTTTTTTTTCTTTTTTTTTTTTTTTAAAGCTGCCTTCTCCTCATCGGGGGACAGCCGTATATTTTTATCTCACCTCACATGTTTTTTAACTGGCGTTCATGCTCGTGAATGTCCTATTTCGTAAGAAAACGATTTTCATCAATAGTAATAAAAAATGAGAAAATAATAGTGTACGTCCGAAATCACGAAATTTGAATTCTTTTTTCCTAAGAAAACATTTTGGCGCGAGGCGACTATTCAGAGGGTGGTGAGTTCATAATAATTTCGAAATTTTACATATAAAATGATATTAAAATGATAAAAAAATTAGAATGAGTAAACCAGTAATTAGTCTTTGTTCAGAAATAATAAAATATAATATTCATTCGTATGGCGATGGTTTGCTCACCTGTTACAGTTAAGTTTTGCGGTCGATCGATGGATCGTGAGGGCATATTCACACCACGACTTTGTGGACGGAATCTGGCCGCTCTTGCGACCAGATACATCTTTTGTACAGATAATATTCAGCTCATAGTGGTGGAGCTGGCGATGGTTTCTTCGACGACTAAATTTTGCAGTCGATCCATCGTGAGGTTATATTCACACTACGACTTTGTGGACGGAATCTGGCCGTCTTTGCGGCCAGATCCGTCCTGCAAAGTTTCCAGTCCGAGGATGTCCTAGCTAGCACGTTTCTGGAAAAAAGGAAAAAAAAACCCTTCGAGCTGATCATGAGCGCGGCTGCTGTTTTCCTGTCGCGGTTGGTATTATTTAATAAATCATTATTATTGAATTTATTTTTATTTTCGATTATTATCATTTTTTATTTTTTTTAAATTCTCTTTTTATTTTTTTTTCCAATTATTATCATTTTCACCTTGGCAATGGCCCTTATTTAGAAGAGTAGTTGTGGGATGCAAAATGGACAATGTGTAGAGGGGAGGTGATGATGATGATGATGATGATGATGAGTATGAAGAGGGAGGTGGAAGAGGAGGAGGAGGAGGAAGAGGAGGGAAGAGGAGGATGAGGAAGAGGAGAAAGAGGAAGAGGAGAAAGAGGAAGAGGAGGAGGACGAAGAGGGAAAGGAGAAGAATAGTATTAGTACAGGAGGGAGGAGGAGGAGAAGAATTGTAATAGCAGCATGGGGAGGACGATGGCGTGGGGGAGGGGCGATGATGATGATGATGATGACGAGGAGGAGGAGGAGGAGGAAGAGGCAGTGGAAGAACGAGAGAACGAACGAGCAAGAGAAGGATTATGATGAGCAGGAATGAGAGAGGGTGATGAGGGAGAGGAGGAAGGGAGAAGCAGGTGAAGGAGGAGATGTGTGGGCATTGTGAGGGCACAACAGAGTGCCCTCTACGTAGTGAGAGCTATTTACCTGTGAATGAATGTTGCTTGTTGGCTCAGTTTTCTCAAAAGGGGGAGAGAGGGGATGCTCGATGATTGGTGAAATGATTGATTGGTGGCTATGTTGGAAGGAACATGGGGGGGGGGGGTGGAGGGTGTAGCGAGGAGGGAGGGAGGAAAGTTGGGCAGTAGAGAGGGAAGTCCCGACCCAGTTTTCTGTCGATAAGGTTGGTCGAGATGTGTTGTGCGCATACATGGGTGTGAGAGGGTGGAGAGGGGGTGAGGGGAGGAGAGGGGAGGCAAGGAAACCAGAGTTGAGGGGAGGGGAGGAGAGCGTGGAGCTGGCTCGCCGGAAGAGGGAGAGAAAGGGGATATGGGACGAAATGGTCTCCAG